TCTCTCCCTTTCCCTTCACTCTCTCTAAAATTCAATGGAAAAATATCCTTGGGTGAAGATTAACAAAAACAAAGTAAATGGATTAAGTAACATTAAAGAGATTATAAGAAAAATATATTCCAAATTTTGTTAGTTGTATAATGGTTATGTTTAAATTATTAACACCTAAGAAATTGGGTAAAGGGTACATATAATATGCTGTAGTATTTTATAGTTTTTTTTACATCTATGAGATTATTTCAAATTAAAATATTAAAAAATTAAAAATTAATAACATATTAATCGAAATGTATCTGCATTACATGAAAAATCTCCTAATTGCTTCTAGGACAATTTATTAAATTGTGCTAAAATTTACAAGGGTTCAATTAAAAAATATCTTAATTCTAAATGATATAATAGAAAATATATAATAGTGCAGTTATAAGCACTTATATGAAAATAAAAATTTAAAGAAGTGAATTTAAAGAAGGGATTAGCCAAAGAAAATATATGCACAACCCATGGACACAGACAACAGTATGGTGATGGCCAGAGAGAAGTGGGGGGCAAAAGCTGGGTAGAGGGGGCAAAAGGGGGGAAATAGGGACATCCTATATGATAATAATAAAAGACTAATATGCACATTGACTGAATGGCAGAATGACCGGTTGCTATGATGCGCACTGGCCACCAGGGGGCAGATGCTCAATGCAGGAGCTTGCCCCCTGGTGGTCAGTGCACTTCCATATGGGGAGTGCCACTCAGCCAGAAGCTGGCTCATGGCTGGCCAGCGCAGTGGTGGTGGCAGGAGCCTCTCCCATCTCCGTGGCAGCACTAAGAATGTCCAACTAACAGTTTAGACCCAATCCCTTGGGGACCTAAGCCTTTAGTCGGACATCCCCCGAGGGTTCCCTGGCTGCCAGAAGGATGTCTGACTGCAAGCTTAGGCCTGATCCCCCAGGGAGTGGGCCTAAGTCAACAGGTGGACATCCCCCAAGGGGTCCTGGACTGTGAATGGCGCAGGCCGGGCTGAGGGACCCCCCCCCCCCCGAGTGCACAAATTTTTGTGCACCGGGCCTCTAGTATTCAAATAATATGTATTAATTCAAGCGAACTGTCAATATTGATTATTCCATGGGCAAGGGAGAGCAGGATCTTTGGACACTTCACTGTTTACATTATACATTGGCAAGGGTGGCATAAATGTCAGAGAAGTTTCTGCAAACCAAAACAGGTTCTGAAAGAACTAATGGAGGTAATTGCAGAACCATTATCTGAAATCTTTTAAATCACTGAGAACAGGAAAAGTATTATAAGACTGAATGAGCAAATGCCTTGATTTTTTAAATATAAAGGTGCTAAAAATCAGGTAAAATCTGACATTAACTACTGGAAAGATCTGGAAAGGTTTGCTAAATGAAGGAAAATTTTGGAGTTTTGAAAGGAAGGTAATCATTAAGAACCAGAATGAGTACTTTAAGAACAAACCAGGCAACCTAATTGAATTATCTTTTTTGATGTGATTATTACACTGGCAACTGGTATAAGTGTATCCTGAATTCAGCAAGGCCTTTAGTTGTTTGAAGAAATGTAACCCAAAGACCTCTACACGCATTCCAAAAGGGTCAGCGGTAGCTTCAGCACCTTCAACATTTTATCAATGGCTGATAGGCATTAAGAGAACTCACATTTACTGGATATCTATTATATGTTAACCTCACATAGGTTTCTTAAATTAAAGAATATATCCCTATGTTTGGCACTCTAAAATTTATGTCTCATTTAATCTTCCCCATAATCCTTAGAGGTAGGTATTTTTATTCCAATTTTACCAATTAGGAAACTGAGGTTCAGAAAGGTTAAGAAAACTGAACACCGAAGAAAGAATATATGCTCTGGGGAGGTCTGATGAGAAGATCTTGAAGATTTTATGATTTAATGAACATAATATTTACACAAAAGACAAACTACTGTAATGATTCCCGTTACCTAAGGATACACCATAGGACTTCTTTAAATCACAAGCTCTCCTAGGGTCCTGAAAATGCAATCTGAATACGTCAAAAATAAGCAAGTTTTCAGGGATGATCCTATTCTATAGGATGAGGTGCTCTATGAATTCCTCCCTTTTATGTTATGGATATTTAAAGACTGCACTAAGAAAGACCACAAGATCTACAGGAGTCAGAAAGCCTGGATTCTGGCCTTAGCTCTGCTGGTCTTTATGTAAAAATTATTTCTCCTAAATCTCTTCTTAATGGTTCAATGTGTGTGTGCTATAAGTAATTGATCACATAGAAATAACTCAATAGGAAGAAATGTTCACAATGACTCAGGGGAAAATATGCTGTATCATTTCTACTTAGTAAACAAATGTTAATAAGTGAATTTCAATAACTTTGAAAAACCTACAAGAGTTCAATGTTCAAGATAACCACAAAGTTGTATACTTTTAGTTAATGATTACAAACAGACTTAAAAAGAGTTTCTTTTCTTGTGCAAGATCTTAGAGTAGATATCCAGATTTAAGTGGTAACAATAAAAAGATTATTTTTTCCTTTATATTTTTTCTCATTAAACTTAAATAGGTCTCAAAATTCTATTAAAATTACTGATTTTAAAAACTGCAGACTGAAAAAATGCCACACGCAAAAACCCCAAAATGGTTCACAAACATTCTCCTTTCCTTCTGAAGGTTTCACGATGCATTGTTATCATTAACTAGCCATTTACTATTAAACTTAAATGGCCAACTGAGACAAATGGTTCAGAGACTGTTCTTCCACCACCGATTAAGACTCGGGTGGCAGGTATTGGGTTAATAATGTTCATTCAGCCTTCTGAGCTTTCTGGGCAGACTTGGTGACTTTCCCGGCTCCAGCTGCCTTCTTGTCCACTGCTTTGATGACACCCACAGCAACTGTCTCATGTCACAAACAGCAAAATGATCCAGAGGAGGGTAGTCAGAGAAGCTCTCAACACACATGGGCTTGCCAGAAACCATACCAACGATGGCGGAATCACTAGATTTCAAAAACTTGAGGCCATCTTCCAGCTTCTTCGCAGAATAATGATCGATCTTCTTCAGCTCAGCAAACTTTAAGCAATATGAGCTGTGAGACAAGCTAGCACAGGTGCACATCTGGCATTGATTTGACCTGGATGGTTCAGGATAATCACATGAGCTGTGAAGCCAGCTGCTTCCATTGGTGGGTCATTTTTGCTGTCACCAGCCACATTGTCATGATGAATACCTTTGACCGACACTGAAGTCCAGATTGTCCACAGGAAAAGCTTCCCTCAAAGCTTCATAGTGCATTTCAGCAGACTTTACTTCAGTTGTAACACTGAAGCTAAGGTGACCTCCATGCCAGATCTGAGCACACCAGTCTACATTTGGCCCATGGGGACAGTACCAGTACCACCAATTTTGTGGACATCCTAGAGGAACAAATGCAAGGGCATATCAGATGGACGAGATAGTGGCAGGAAGCAATCCTGAGATTCAAGTAGCATGGTTCCACTGGCATTGCCAATCTTTATAGGTGACTTTTCATCCCTTGAACCAAAGCTCCAGCATGTTGTTGCCATTCCAACCAGAAACTGCTATAAATGCTCCTGTGTCAAAGTTGTAGCCAATTTCCTTGATGCAGGTGCTGACATCCTTAACAATTTCCTCCTCTCTCTCTGGCTGTGGGGTGGCTCAGTGGAATCCATTTTGTTAACACCAACAATTAGTTGTTTCACATCCAGTGTGAAAGCCAGAAGGGCATGCTCATGGCACTCCTTGGAGGCCATGCGGACCCTAAGGTCCACTACCCTGTTGCTATAGCCAAATTAATTGTCATACCAGGAAATGAGTTTGACAGAGTGGTCACTGAGGACAACGCCAGCTCCAGCGTTGAAGGTGGAGGGGTGTCACTGTTAAAAGTTGGAGGAGACAGCTAGTCCTCAGTATAGCCCAGGATGCCCGTGAGGGGGCCCTCAGACACCTGCTTCACAACCTGCTTGATGGCATCGTATTTGGCAGCTTTCTCCAGGTGGTAGGTCAGATCCACAACCAACACATTGGGGGTGGGGACATTTACCTTGTTATTCTATCCCCCTCCCTCCCAATCCCTAATTTCAAGATTAGGGCAAGGAGGAAAGGACTAAGAAAAAAGGCAAAGATAACTTCACTGAGCTGGTAGGGTAACCAAAATTTTCCAGTTCATCTGGCACTGAGGAGTTTCCCAGGATATGGGACTTTCAATACTAAAATCAGAAAAGTTCCAAACAAACTGGGATGGCTGGCCACCGTATGAGCTGTTTATAGTTCACTATTGCTTAATCAGTGGCTAACCATCGTACTGTTACAGCTGCTTCCCACAAGGTCTTCTAACATTGGAGACCTCCAAACTGCAATTTCCCATCACAGCTTATACCCTCAAGACGACCTCTTCCCCTTTCAAACCCTGTCCTTCGGCAATATAGTCTTTGCTGCTAGTAATATTTATTACTGGGTTAAGGTTGTAGCAACCAGATAGCTCTATTATAAGGGTAAGTTTCTACTTTTATGATTAGCAAATAATCTATAGCGGGATGTTTTGTGTTTTTTTAAAAATATATTTTTATTGATTTCAGAGAAGAAGGGAGAGCGAGAGAGAGAGAGAGAGATGGAAATATCAATGATGAGAGAGAATCATTGATTGGCTGCCTCCTGCCCACCCTCACACTGAGGATCGAGCTTGCAACCCGGGTATGTGCCCTGACTGGGAATTGAACTGTGACCTCCTGTTTCATAGGTTGACGCTCAAGAACTGAGCCACACTGGCCGGGCAAGTCTGGAAACTTTTATATCCTGCTTCCCAAGTCTGGGAACTTTTTTGCTGTACCATTTTACTCAGTATCCTTAGCATCTTGCCCAGGGCAACATACCTAATTAATACATAATAAAAGAGAAAATGAAGGTAAAACAAAACAAAAATCTTCTCTTTCAGATTTTGCCAGACTCTATTCAGGGTAAAAATAAGAGACTGCTGTAACAGTATAGACATTTTTATTTTATAAAAGAAAATGCAAAATACAGCTATGAAACTGTACCTAAAGTCACACTCTAAATTCATATCTTGCAATTGAATTTTCTCAGTTCATCAATTAATTCCAATGAAAACAGGCTAAACTTCTGTCCATGGAAGAAACATAGACCAGATTTAAACATGACAATGAAGATGGTTGGCAAGATTAGGCACAGGGAGTGATTTTAGCTCTGTTTCATGTTTTCTTCTTGGAAACATTCTCCATGACCATGTGAGACTTAAAGCAAACACAGTGACTGTCCTGGCCAGAGAAGAAGGTTAAAGCAGTGTTATAGAGAATTGTGAACTATTCTTCTGCCTTCATCCTGTGATATCCATGTCTCTCAGAAGGGTCTGGCTAAACCAGACTATTATTTGCAATAGCATTCAAAGTCCTTACTTGGGTCACATCTGTTACCTTTCGAGAATATTCTGAGGTACAAAGAGAGGCTCCCATGGCAACAGAGGGATTTCTGCAATAGAAATAATAAAGGAACAGATAATTATATGAGTTGTTAAATGAGCCCTCCTATACTGGCACTTCATTTTTTTTTTTATATTTTTATTGATTTTTTACAGAGTGGAAGGGAGAGGGATAGAGAGTTAGAAACATTGATTCAGCTGCCTCTTGCACGCCCCCTACTGGGGATGTGCCCGCAACCGGGGTACATGCCCTTGACCGGAATCGAACCTGGGACCCTTCAGTCCGCAGGCCGACGCTCTATCCGCTGAGCCAAACCGGTTAGGGCCTGGCACTTCATTTTATGAAGTGGTTCTCAACCTTCTGGACCTTTAAATACAGTTCCTCATGTTGTGACCCAACCATAAAATTATTTTCGTTGCTACTTCATAACTGTAATGTTGCTACTGTTATGAATCGTAATGTAAATATCTGATATGCAGGATGGTCTTAAGCGACCCCTGTGAAAGGGTTGTTCAACTGCCAAAGGGGTCGCGACCCACAAGTTGAGAACCGCTGTTTTATAGGCTATTTCATGGCCTAGAACAAGAGTAAGTCAAGGACTTTGGACTACTATATTTCATAATTTTTATTAATTACTTGAAATATCTAGTAGCCAAATCTACCAGACAATATAACTGATTCTGCATCTAAAACGTAAGTTGTAAGGCTCTTGCTTCTTTTACGTCTCACTTTTCCCAACTTATAAATCATCAATTGCTAACTATTAAATTATAGGAGTCCTGTCAAGTATAATAAAAAACACATAATAGTTTCAATTCCTTAATGTGATAAAATTTCAAAATAACTGAAAATAGAGAGCAAAGGTAAAGGAAGACTAAGTATAAAGGTAGGAGAGATAAAAATAACTATGACTCTTCCATTCTTACACCATAGTTATTGTTTGCTAAAGGAAAGCACAGGTGAAGGAGCACACATACTTATCTGACTGATTTGAAGCTGAGATACTAAATTAGTTTATTATTAACTTTTAACAATGACTTAATGAAATAATGGTTCACCTATGTTCAGAAGAGCCTGCTTTTTTAATGCAGGATAAGAACCGTTTTGCATTGTTTTGTGTGTGTTTTTAAAGAGACTGCCACATGCAGCACCTCATTTGGATGTGTCTGGAGTCTTGGAAACTTGACTACCTTACATTCTCCTACAAATGGACCTTGAGAGCTTATCTGGAGGGTCTAGCAGGGGAGCGTAGCTATGCGTATACCCGTGACCAAAGAACGGTCCTCTACTCTATCAGGGAAGGTCGTCCGCTCTGACCTCCCACGTGTGGCTTTGGCAGGGATGCACATGGAACAGTGAGGGAGGAAGGGGACACCCGCCTAGCCAGCTAGATCAGCAGAATCAACCCTGGCGATCAATGGGGTGACAGATGTTGTAGCCAGATCACCCTCACATCAATACTTATGTACTAATCACAACATTCCATTCATTTATCAAACCATTAACTAAGGTTTTCCTATGGGGGGAAATAAAGATTAATCTCATCCCTTCTTGAATGAGTCAAATAATACACTTTTACCGAAACTTCATTCCTGAATCTCTAGCAGACCGAGCAGAACAGTGGAATTCTGTAGCACCAGAACCCTCAAGGATTCTTTGTAGATTTCTGTCTGTTATGCCACCCCCTGTTGGAAAAAATAAGTAATACATTAAAGTAGAATAGAACTTTGCATAAAATTTAATAAATAATAAATTTCCATACTGAAGTTTCTCATTAACTCAAGAATTATTCTCTCTCTCCTAAGCTAGAATAAAGTTAGAAAAGAATGATGAAATACAAACTACAGATTTTGAAGAACAACTGATAAGGTCATAGAACCTATGATGGAATCTTCTATATCCATTGGTTTATATAACAATGTTATATGTTACAGACTTTAAATCTAAAGAGATTATTCTAGGGCAAGGAAAATCGTCGAGCGCTCTATCCCTGCTCCCCCTCAATTAAAAAAAAATCAAATTAAAACAAAAGGAGGCCAGGCTAGAGGACAAAACTACAAAAGCACAGCCTTAGAAATGTGTCTGAAACGGAACCTCCAAGATTTTCTCTCTGGATCAGCATTCAAAGACCATGATGTCATTGGAAATGGGAATAATGACGGGTATTATACAGTTTATTCATTATAATATCAAATTCTTGTTTCATTTCACAGAAGAATCTGAATCTACTTTATAAAAACTGCACAGTCAAGTACTTTATGATGACTTATTTGTTTTGATGAACAATATCTAAAAGCTTGTATATAAAGAATCATATTCTCAACTGATTCCAGATTATAAATATAAAATTATTGATCTTTATATCCTTGTCTCCTAATATGTAGGAGTATTAAATAAATATTTTTAATGACTGATAAAATATGTACTTTGTATCTCAAGTTGCTGAAGTAACTTGACTTTACAGACTCTTTTGGACTCATTAACTTTTTTTTTCTTAGGGGCACAGTAACATCACTGAGCCCTAAGAAGTAAAAAGAATACAGACTGAGAAGTTAGATTTGGATTGGAATTCTGGCTTCACCACTATAACTCCTCACAGCTATGTGATCTTAGATAAATTACTTTAAACCAATGAGCCTCAACTTTTTTAACCAAAAGAGGGATTTCCTCAGAGCTTGTTATAAGGATTAAAAGGCAAATATGTTATTTCCTTCTAACACATAACAAGATGTCTGGCTACTGAACCTATGTTGTTCTAGTTATCAACAACCTTAGGACACAGGTAATATATTTTCGAAACACAGAGTAACACATCTTTACAGTGGAACCAAAGAGGACAATTAGTTCAATATCCTCTCTTTACAGGTGAGGAAACGAACCTAATTATGTTGTAAGCTTCATTATGAAAATCCCTAAAGGGAAACCACTATGTTCTATTTATCTTTAGATTTCTCCATGATCAGGAGCACATGATTCAACTGTGCTGACTACATGGAAGAATATTCATTAGACATTCAGTTTGACTTATCTAGGAATTTTTCCTTGTTGGTACTTATTTTCATGAAATTTTAATAATTTCTTTATAGATCTATTCTGTGAGCTCCTCGAGTAAAATGATTACTTCATATTCATTTCTATCTTTCATATCCACCACAAAACTTAGCATATAATTATCACTTGCTTGGTAAGGTTTGTTAAATAATCACAAATATTTTTGTATACAACATCTTCTCACCTCAAGAGTAAGCCTTTTGAGGAAGTAGTTCCTTGTGTAACTCTGCATGCCTTGCACATAGTAGATAACTTCAAAATTACGTAATAAGCAAAGGCAACCTTAATATTAACAATTATCTAAGCCCGGCTATTAACTGTCAAGACTAAATACATTTAGTTTTAAATGGAAATGCATTAAAAACAGTTAAGTGTCTTTAATAAAGGGTCTCAATTTGACAGATAACATATGCTTTCTATCTGTTCACAATCAGGGACTTGCTACTGATCAAAACTTTCCTAAATTTCTGATGCTCTCCCTTTATCCGGCCTCTTTTTAAAAGCTGACCTTTATCTGGCCATCACCATTTTGACCCCTAGTTAGTCTTGGCATCACTGGTAGTGAGACAACCAGACACGCTATGCCTTCTGATGTGATATAATATGATATATACAGCCTCACCCACAAAGTACTCTTACCAAAAATATTTAAACAAAATCTAATCAAGCCTTATGATCTAGCTACCAGTTTATAGGCAGGGCAGGGGCTAGGAAATACACACTAAACAATACCAAAAGGAAGCAATTTGATAAATCCAGAAAGTAGGACATTTTACAGGTAAGTGGCCCAAACTGTTTAAATTTCATTTTTTTAAAATATATTTTATTGATTTTTTACAGAGAAGAAGGGAGAGGGATAGAGAGTTAGAAACATCAATGAGAGAGAGAGAAACATCGATCAGCTGCCTCCTGCACACCTCCCACTGGGGATGTGCCTGCAACCAAGGTACATGCCCTTGACCGGAATCGAACCCGGGACCCCTCAGTCTGCAGGCCGACGCTCTATCCACTGAGCCAAACCAGTTAGGGCTTAAATTTCATTTTTTTAAAAGACAAGAAAAAAGAAAAGAAAAACTTCTATATTAAAAAAATATTAAGATAACAACCAAGTGCAATACTTATTCTTTGATGGGATCCTGATTTGAACATATCAGTTATAAAAAACATTCTGGGGGCAATTAGAGAAAAGAGGGTATTGATTATTAAATGGCATTAAAGAATTAGAGTTTATTTTGATAAATATAATAATGGTATTGTGATTACAGTAAAATGCCCTTATTTTTTAAAGATGCATAAAGATAAAATGTCAGGATGCCTTTAATTGAACTTTAAAATACCTCAGGATAAGAAGAAACAAATGTTACAAAATGTTAAATCTATAAAATGAGTATATGCCTTTTTCTACTCTTTTATATGTTTGAGAAATTTAATAAGAAGAAAAATTAAGATAATATTTGTATTTGTCTCCCTCTGCTTCCAGGTCACCTTATCCAATTCTTTAAAAATTATTCATTTCTGCCCTAACCGGCTTGGCTCAGTTGATAGAGCTTCGGCCTGCAGACTGAAGGGTCCCAAGTTCGATTCTGGTCAAGGGCATATACCTTGGTTGCAAGCACATCCCCAGTAGGGGGTGTGCAGGAGGCAGCTGATCGATGTTTCTCTCTCATCGATATTTCTAACTCTCTATCCCTCTCCCTTCCTCTCCGTAAAAAATCAATAAAATATATTAAAAAAGATTATTCATTTCTAATGATCTGTAATGTACTTAATTGATCTTATAGTTATCATCAGGAGCACATGATCCAACTGTGCTGACTACAAGGAAGAATTTGGTGATCAGATTTTCAGGAACTGAGGATTACATCTATCCAGGGATATTATGTTTGCTTATACTTTGTTAACAACTTGGACATTTGGCCCTAACACAGAGTAGCAGCAAATTTGGTGTGCCTCACTAGAGATGAACATCTTCACTCATAACATTCTACACTATAGGAGCGCAAACATGGGGAAAGCCCAAGTCTAATCTACTTCCTTTTTTTGCTCTTCTCTGAGCTTATCCCTGCTAAAATGTTCTCTTCCTTCTAAAGTTTTAAATTCCAGCAGAGATCTGCCATCTTAAACAATTTAATCAAATGATATGTTCTTTCTGAACACCATGCACTAAAACTTTCCCCCATACTGCCCTGCCTCCTTTGCTCTTCCTTCATCAGAGTTCAGTGTTATACTAGTGAATGGGTAGATAGATAAATACCTGGCATTACCACAATCCTGCCTTTTGCCTGAAAAAAGAAAAAAAAATAAACAAGTAAATTTTAATATCTTTCTCTAAATGAGATAGTAAGGCAGTGAGAACAGAAACATAAGTATATTAAACTTTAAAAATTACTATTAATGTTTACTTTTCAGTAGATCTTTTGTTTCTCTGGGACCTTAGGTAAATAAGATGTTCAGCAAAGTAACTCTTTCTATCCAGTTATTTATTGTATTACTTTAAAAACTTGTACTGTTATGAACACAAAGAATAGAAGGCTACAATATAAATACAGAATAATCACACCACTTTAAGAAAAGTCATTACTGAAAGATAACACTAATCTGAGCTTTTGGTATATGATGGGATGGAAGTAGAGGGGTGCAGGAGACAGCCTATCCGTGTTTCACTCTCACATAAATGTTTCTCTCTCTCCCTCTCCCTCTTGCTCTAAAAAGCAATTAAAAATGTTTTGTTTGTTTTTTAAAAGTGTTTCTTCCCTGACATGGTGAACAAGAGCAAGTTCCTACTCTCATGGAGTTTACATGTTCAAGGAAGACAGGTATATTTATGTAATAAAATTTCAGGTAGCAATAAGTACAATGGGAAAAAAATTAAGCAAGGTAATAAAGAGTAAAAGGGAGGGGATACTTCATAAAATGTAATAACTGTTAGAGAAATAAGTGGAACAAGACTGTTTAGTATTCTCAAATGTACTGAAGGAAGTATCTATAAAACAAAATATTATCTAGAAAGGTGAAATGATTTTAAGAAGGAAAAAGTATTATTTAACTGTTTCTTCTAAGTGAAAACTTTCTAAGACAGAAAAATGATACTTTTAAGAGATTAATTCTATCACTTTTTTTGGATTATTTATAGCTATATGCTCGCCTAAGGTTATAAAGTGATTTAACAATATAAAGCACACTTTTTGTTATCTGAAGTAATCCATAACTATTCTAGGAGGTAGGTACCACTATTATGCTAACTTTGTAGTGGAGGAAACTGAAGTTTATGATGTTAGGGCAAGGTCACTATAAATAAGAGGCAAAGCCAGGATTTAAACACAGACCTTTCTAATCCCAAGGCCTAGGTAGGCTTTAACCAGCACATGTATAATATATCTTGAAGGTAATTGCTTCAAGAAGTAAGTTAGGCTGTAACCGGTTTGGCTCAGTGAATAGAGCATTGGCCTGCGGACTGAGGGGTCCCGGGTTCGATTCCGGTCAAGGGCATGTACCTTGGTTGCGGGCACATCCCCAGTGGGAGGTGTGCAGGAGGCGGCTGATCGATGTTTCTAACTCTCTCTCTCCCTTCCTCTCTGTAAAAAATAAAATATATATATAAAAATAATAATAATAGTAAAATAAAAAATTAAAAGAAGTAAGTTATCATTATCCCACTTACACATGAAATCTGAAAAGGTCGAATACATAGAAGCGGAGAGTAGAATGGTGGATACTAGGGGCAGGGAGCTGGAGGAAACAGGGAGATGATGGTCAAAGGGCAGAGTTGCAGTTATGAGGACGAGTAAGTCTGGAGATGTAACGTATAGCATTGTGGGGGTTCAGAACAAGCCATTCCAAGATGTGACTCGGTAGCATGATGATTAATTTGAGCTTCACTTTGAAGTTTAGCAGCAGGCTTAAGAGAACTTCTGCCTCTCCCTCCCCTCTAACTAATTAGAAGAACATAGAGATCTTGCCCATAAGCTATTATCAGAGATAACTTCTTTTGACCTATCCATAGGGTAGGGCAAACTTCAATTTACTAAACCTCTGTTCTTATCATCCTGCAATGACCCTTGGAAGCCCTCATCTGCATCCCTAACTTAGGATGTCCTTCCTATATACTCATGCTCCCTTTCTTCCTCTGAACTTATGGGGTTCCCATACATATGTATGTATTAAATTTGATTATTTTCTCTTGTTAATCTGTCTCATATTTACATGATTATTAGACCAGCCAGAAGAACCTTGAGGGTAGAGGAGAGTTTGTTTCTCCCCCACAATATTATAACTACAGTTAATAATGCTGTATTTAATTTGCTAAGAGTAGATTTCAGGTGCTCTCACCACACACACACACACACACACACACACACACACACACACAAGCACACCACTTGGTCATGACCATAATACAAATGCCCTGTACTTACTATATACTTAATACATATCTGTAAAATCAGTAAGTTCCAGACTAGCAAAGTCACATCAGATTCTTATGTGAAATTCCTAAAAATTATTTTCATGACTATACAAAAGATGTCTACCCAGGACACCAAATATTATTATTAAAAATAGCAGTAGTAATAATAATAGAAACTAACATGTATTAAGGTGTATTACATGCCAAGCCCTGTGCTAAGGCTCTAGATATCTTATCTTCTACCAACCTTCAGAGCAATCCTATAAAGGAGTATTACACTTATCTCAACTT